TCTAGATCCACAAAGACACAGATCAACTCCATCTGACCTTCTCTAGATTGCATTGGTAGTGCTCTTTCTGGGCAAGTACAGCTTCATGCTCACTAGTCATTACCACTCTTTTTATCCTAGCTTTAGCTTTTTCCCATAGCTGCATGGCTCATTAATCTCTCTGTAGTTACTACTGTTCCATAGATTACTCCTGAAAATCGCTACCAGCACATTTTTTTTCCACTCCTCAGATGTTCTCTTACTTCTTGAAGATTGTATTAAACATATTAATAAAAATGTCCACGATGATGCGGCTCATCTTTGGGGAAGATCAGTGCACCTACAGGATTGACTTGGAATCAGTGATGGTGTCATTCAGAGACAACAACTTCCTTCTTAATTCACCAAAGACATTGGAGCTCATTGTGGACTTCAGGAAGAAGGAAAGGTTACTCAGCCATTACTCATTAACAGGAAGTGTATGGAGAAGGTTTCAGTTTCCTGGTTTTTGGGAGTCCACATCACGGCAGACTTGACCGGTGGTGTTAACACAGCTGAGGTGGTGAATAAGGCACAGCAAAGACTTCATTTCCTGAGTGTGATCCAACAACATCCACCTCAAACTGCTGGTATTCCTATATCACTGCTCAATAGAAAGATTACTGACGTATCGTCTCTCTGTGTGGTTTTCCAGCTGCACAGCGGCACAAAGCACTTCAGCAGGTTATCAGAGTTGCCCAGAGAAAAGTCAGTTTGCCCTCTCTGGAGAAACTTCACAACACCCACTGTTTCAGGAAAGGCCCCAAATTTTGTGTGACCCATCACACACATATCAAGATCTTTTAAATCAGCGGTCTCCAACCTTTTTTGCGCCACGGACCGGTTTATGCCCGACAATATTTTCATGGACCGGCCTGTGGATAAATACAACAAAATAAAACTAGAAAAAGAAGATTTATTCATAACGCACGTGAAAAGACCCAGGAAAACCAAGTTAACGATCAAAACGATAACAAAATAACGCTGAAAACCGATAAAAACCCTGAAAACTATACATTTCCAGCCCGTTCTCACTCCCGAGGCGTAACATGCCGACGTTTTGTCACGTCCCGCGGCGTTCCTGAGGAACGC